TGATGGCATCAGTTCCAGTTGATTTGTCATCATTGTTCGCTTGTGTAATTGGTACGACATTGTTATCGGCATGTGCGAATGCGTGTAATCATCTTCTTGAAGCACCGTATGATGCGCAAATGAAACGTACTCAAGCCAGACTTTTAGTCGTACACAGGTGATGGTCATCACCTCACTGTACTATTTCATTATGTTTTCATTGTTGGTTATTCATTCGTTACCATCATTTCTCAATCCTCATTCTACAATCGAAATTTCACATCTTTGAAAAAACACTCCATTATAGGTGCTTTATAATCACGTTGAATTTGATGTAAGTTTACCGATACGTTCTGAGTCCTAGTGAATCATTTCATATTCTCTCCCTCCAGATTTTCACCCCTTCACGCAGCTGTATTCGCATCTGTTGTTGCATCAGCTGGGACCTGTATACTCTGGGATGGATGTAATTCTCTAACAGCAATGCTTGGATTGCTCAACGTCTTTCTTTATGCAGGTTTGTCACAACGATACTCTGTTTACCTCATCTTATTTATTTTTCATCGCATTATCATCTTTAGAATATCAGCATTTCATGCCCAATACGACAGATGCGTGAATAATTTTTACGTTAACGCATTCTTGTACTTTTAAAATACGCTGTAAATATTAGTGCTCAAATATAACTTTTATCTCTGCTTATCAGCACATTACATGAACAATTGAATGTTATAAAGGATGGATAGTTTTAGGTGTATACACGCCAATGAAAAGGCATTCAGCAGCATGCACCTGGGTTGGTGCTATAGTGGGGTCGATTCCTCCATTGATGGGCTATACAGCTGCGACCGGTACACTTGAACCAGCTGCTTTCGCTCTAGCTGCCGTACTTTATTGTTGGCAATTCCCACACTTCAATGCCCTAAGTTGGAATCACCGTGGTGATTATAGTCGAGCCGGATATCGAATTATGTGTGTTACTGATGAAGCGTTGTGTAAGCGAACAACACTTCGGTTTGTTCCTCTTTCGACTTCAGTCTGTTTCAAAACCTTTTTTGCAGATTTGCAAATTATTGAAATTACTCGATAATTGTGTCAGCAGTTGCTCTTTTGAGTTGTTATTCTTGCAGGCATTCGTTAGCATTGCTCGGCATTTGTTCTTTTGTGGTACCGTACAGCGGTCTGACGACGTGGTCTTTTGCGTTCGATTCGCTGCCCGTTAACGCATGTTTATTGTATCTTAGTGCCAAATTTTTTTGCAATCCTAATGCAAAAACTTCACGTTCACTCTTCCGGTACAGTTTGGTTTACTTACCTCTGATGATGGTATTAATGGTTGTTAGCAAATATGGACAAGCATCTGCCACTGAAGTTCATATTTCAAAGTGTGACCACGATTCATAGCTGCAGACTCTGATTGGCGGTAATTGATTGCATAACAGTTGAGCACAAAAATGTACTTATAAAGTTCATTCTGAAGCAATGAACTGCGCAGTGGAAAACTTCTGAATCGTTTTGAAACCTTAACAGCACGTCAAGTGCTGGAATTATTCAATACTTACCACTGAATTAATTAAAACAAAGCGTGAATGGTCATGGATGTGAGTTCTAAGACAGTTGCCACTGGACAGTGATTCCAGAAGAACAGTTGTTGTGGGTGGCAATTCTCTGACAACGGTTGTTTAGGAAGTTGTTGTTCATACATCGAAGTAGACAGTGTTATTTCTTTCCACAGCAGGCGCCGATCTGAGATTTTTATATCAGCGCATTCTTGTGCTTTTCAAAATCTACTTTTTCGCTTTCCAATGTTTTAAAACAACCGTAACACTTGATTTGAAGTAGTAGCCTGAACAAAAATTTCGCTTCATCAGTCTCACAATTAGCTAGAGATTGTTTACTGGAATCAATTTCTTCAGAGAAACTTTACAATATGCAGGAAAATAATTTTTTAATGCGACATCTTGCGAATTATAGAACCGATAGGATGTTTTTCAAACATATTAGTCTTTGCAAATGATGGTCAGTGATTTTGTTTTTGTGCCATTTCACCTTTCATGTACCAGAGTTTTTGTAACGAATTTATTATCTGTGATCAATACAGAATCGAAGTGTAGTCGTTGTGAAATTAATCAGACCTTGACGAGCGCAATCGTCTACTCTTTTGAACAGAACCTAATCAGCAACATTTGCTTACTCATATGGGCAGTATTTATTCGATCTGATTTGGTTGTATCGATTGGCTGTTTGTATATAAGTAATGTGTTATGAATAAAACAGATTTCTGTAACAATATGTGTTGTTTTTGTGCGTTAATTCCCACAGCAGTTACTGTAGTGACTTCCCGGTAGTATAGAAAGCGGCCTCATAAAATGATTAATAATTAATCATCTCTGGAGTGCTTGAGGAGTTGTTCTTTCTATCGTGACTGACATGCTCGTTTTTAAGGATTTTATTTACAGTTAGCACCGGAATCTTTCACGTAAAACCCTTATTCACAAATGAACAGAACTACAATGAAATCAAGATATCATGCAAGTAACTCAACAATAAATGAGTTCGCTGAAAAGAAACATTTAAGCAGCGAGTGTGATTTGGGAATCCATACAAAGGAAAATATTGTAATGCTTCTTGGAAATCGTATAAGTGTTGATGGAATGCTAAATTTTTCGTGACAAACCGCCCTCAGCACGTCTTGAGCATTAAAAATGACTTTAATCAGTTTTACGGTATGTTTATAAGTGTAGAAATAAGGCTTAACTGAAAGTCTTTATTAAGATCTAGGTGCTTGGGTTTACTGCGTATGAGGTAGTGCAAGTAATGCAAAATGAGGAATTAAATTTCGTCTTTCAGCATGTACTGGTACGTCAAATAGTACGCCAATGCAATTCAGTTGTTCTTGTACTGCAGTCACTTTTAAATAGTCTATTTTATAAGAATTTTTCATTAGTGAGTATCAACAGGGAAGTGTACAGTAACGGAAGAATGGACCAACGCATTTCGTAAAGTCTTTGGCTAAGCATTCACGTGATTCAAATCCAATTACTTGATTGTTTTTGCATGGCTGTCCACTAGCGAATTCCTGCAAATTAATTTGTTTCAGAAGTGTGCAGCGAAATGTTTTATTTGTAATTCCTTCGAAAAGATTTCTGCAATCATCCTGTCCGTACATACGGCTAAATTCTATCATTAACAGATAGGCAGTATTACTGGTCTCAAAATGAATAAGTTTATACTTGACAAATTCCGAGCCATGGTGACCAGACATTCTCAGGTTGTTTGAAGGTAACGGAAGAATGTGCACGAGCATTCCTTTTTCCTTGCATGTTTGATGGCATCACACTTGGTGGTAAACCAAAGCTGATCGTGTGAGAACTGCTTGAAAAAATCGACGTTTCAGGACCCATTGGTCCAGCAGAAACGACTGTTTTCTCTGCAAGCACTATTTTCGCTACCAGCTAAACAACTGAAACTATCCTGACTAGTGTCTACCTCAGAAGAACTGTTTACCTTTTTTAACTCGACTCAGGATAATGTCATAAATTAAGTTGGCAACATGAGAAATAAAAGTGAAATATTCATTACGAAAGTGGTATGAATTGGGTCATATTTGTGCATTCGGCGTGACTGAATGAAGCATGAATAAACAATTGAAAGTTTCACCAGAAAAGTTCAACGGATGTGAAAAAATATGCAAAAGCATATTAATAGGTTGTGCATGGAATAACTGAACAGTTGGAATAATTTTATTATTGGAACAACTGGACAGGAACAACTTTTGTTCAAAGTCTCGAATCACTGTTTACATTTTAATACATCTTAACGAGGAGAGCAACGAGTATATGAGGAACCTATCGCTAGTTGATAATTCAGAAGTGTGGCAAATGTTTAAAGGACTTGATTATGCTTGATAAGAAATATAATGATAACCTTGAGACAGAATCGCATCTTCGGTGCTGATCTCGTCAGGACATTTATCCACCTCCATTAATGCNTGAGACACCTCCTTCTGCGAATCTTGCGTTCACCAGAACTTTGACATGGTGTCCATTCGCTCCACACAGAAAAATAGCTGTTTGCCTGCAGTAATTATACCATTTTAATAAACATTATATCAAGAAACGAATTGAGTGTGCGCATCATTGCAGCTGATGCGCACGTTTTCCGATGTGACGAAAATGTTTAATCCTTCGATGCATAAATCAGTGGTAAGCACTTCTTGAATTTTCCTGAAAATTCAACTGTTTGTTGAGCAGAGTATTCAATTTCTTGAATATTAGAAATTGAATACTCCGCTCGATTCGAATAAAAATTGAATATGTAATTATAAGAATTTACTTCATCAGAACTGCTGATGGTCTTTATTTTGATTTTTTCGATCGATTTTAAACCTCTTGTTTTAGCCTTTCGCTGAACAGCCACTTTATTGATTTCAATTTCTTCCATTTCTCGGGAGGCTGGACGAACCTGAAATAAGAGAGTTAATAATAGTTCTCAACGTCATTGTCATTGACGCCTTGTCACGATATTGTTATGTAGATATATCTTTGAAATGTTGACGAGCCAAAAACTTAAAGTGTTGATAGCCACTAAGGTACCTTCGTTTGTTTGTTGTTGGTAATAGATAATGCGCGTGGATGTGATTTGTAATTTTTGATAATTTTCTTCTTGTGCACCTCTTCTATGTCACTTTGGTTGTGATTTTGTTCAAATTTAGTTGTCAATCTTTCTTTATCTTCAATATCACTTGGATGTTCCTCTTCTTCATCTTCATTCTCCTCCATACTTTTCGCATCATAATCCAAATCCTTCTCGGTGCTTTTCTCATCGTTATCGTTCTTCTCCTCTGAATGATCTTTTTCGTTTTCTTCTCTCGAATACACTTCGCTGGTTTTGTCTGCTGAGTCACCGATAGAAAATTGATCTCCCTCCTCCCTCGTGTTCTTCGTTTTCTTAAACTTGATTTTTCTTTTTGTCTCTTTCACATTCCCTTTTCCATTCTCTTCAATTGTGGTCGCATTTGTTTTATATTCCTCATCATCTTCTCCAGCTGCTCTACTTTCCTCCACGAAATCTGTATCATCTTCGTGAACGTTTTTGTTCTCAATTTTTTCAATATCATCATTTTCGAGGTTCGTTATCGAATCGTCAGCATTTTTGTTTTGCTCACCAGAAAGAATTATTCGATCAGCTTCAAGTGTTGTGGTTTCCAGTGTTGTGCTCATTTCGTCGGATTTTTCATTCAGCTTCGATATTCCGCTGTCTACGTCTGTAATCATACAATTTTGAGATTAAAAATTGCATCCTGAAATTCTCCAATAGAACACGAACGCGTTCAGCCAAAATTACTGACAGCATAGTTACCTACAGAACCGTTACGTATCTAGAAAAGAATATTTTCATTAATAGTATGCTGCCAATAAGCCACTCTTATGAATATTCAACTGTACAGGTGAAGACTGCTAAAGCTGCTATTAAATAACGACAACCACCGCTACTGAAGCTACTTCGTACATCAACCTTATGAAACAGCAATTTGAATTAACATACCGCTTCCAGATGTTCTATCGAATAATTTTTGCATTTCAAGTACGAAATTGCATCCGTTTTGAAAATAAATCACTTTGTCACTTTCCTCAAGAGCAAATGATGATGGTTTAGTAAATGCGGATTCAGTGTTTGTTATGCATTCTCCTTCTTCATAGAAGTACATTGCTGACTGAAATGAAGTCAGTTTTGCATCGTCTCTCGTCTCATCGCATTCGAAACTCTCATTTTTATCGGCGGTTCTAGCTATGAAACGTTTGAAATTAACTCAAAAGATCTGCGAGAACAACTCGGCATTTAAAAAAAAAGTAATATTTTCAGTTTAGTGTAGGATTGTCACCTTGCACGTGAAATGTTCTCTCAAGCATTGCGCTACGCATTCTTGTAAGCTTTCGACAATCGAGACATTCTTCGCGTATCCAATAATAACGGATTGGTCGGCTCTTAGAAAGTGCGCATCACCACATTCCACTGGTAGATCTTCTAAAATGATTTTTGGTTTTGATTAAAAATGCAAAAGGGATGCATCGGCTCCAACAGGATTCAAGGATGGTTTTCAAGACGTTTATGAGGGTCAGATAGGAATTAACGTTTATATTCGGTAATTACCACTTAGTTCAATCAGCAGTTTCCAATGCAATCAAATGAAGGTGCTTGGATGTTCCACGACAAAGCGTGCAGTAAAGAAGAAAATCGTAGGGGTGAACTTTAGCGGAGAGCTTCTGTTGAATTTCATTCCCATGCAAGTCTGAGTGTAATTTATGGGTTATTCCTGGCTTAGGCCTAAGCCTATAAGAGGCTCGAGGCCAAGCCTAAGTCTTATTTCAATAAATGATGCTAAAATCAGCCTNGATGTTCGCATTTTATCGTGGAATATCAGAACGAGTAAGATGGAGTTAGATCATGGCTAAGTATGCAGACACTGTGAACTTCAGTTAGCTTCATGTTGCGTCGATATTTAACGATGACATAAAATATTGTTCAAATAAGTATTCGTCGGGAACAAGATCTGAACAGAACCTTAATCAGTTTTTCGTGAATAAAGTCTCCATCAGTTTCTTAGAGGGTTCCAGATCTTAATTCACACAGGAATTTAACTTCCAGAATTCAAAATAGTTCACTTGTTTTGAGCCTTAATGGTGATAAAGTTTTTACTTAGTGATGAAGTATTTTAATTGTCAATTAATAGTTTTTTTTCCTAATTTAATAANAGCAAGAAATTTTAAGCGATTCACATAAATTGGAAAGTGTATCATGGAGCGAGTTGTTAACTGGAATAGAATCTCTTGTTAAAATTAAAATCTCGGTGTTTCTGATAGAAAATGCTGAAAGGATATCCATATTAAAGAGTCTACAAAAATTCACAGTTTACCCATTACTTCAAACGAATTCCTTGTATGAGGAAATCATTTTTAAGTGATCACTCATTATGATTTTTTTCAATTCACTATGACAATACGAAGTGCCTCACCAAGCAATAAGCTTGTTAAAACTTATGGGAATCATCGGTCCGCTGATCATGACACATATTTGATCATGTCAATCCCATTTTCAAATTATTAACAGTAGTAATGAAACTTACTTATCAGTAAATCATATGATGAGACTGATTCTAGATGTTTCTTGGAAATAAAATGTTATTTCGCTAATTTTAATACACGAAGAGAAATATTCACTGGGTGTCTATACAGAGAGATCCGGTTCACTGTGCTGTCATTTTTGAATGATCACTGGAAAAATTTAGTCTTTTCTTTGCATTTTTATCATCATGCATCACAGGAGGTCACTGGTAGTAGTGGATGATAATTGATGTTCGCTGTTGTCATTTATCGACATTATGTAATTTTTAAACAAACTGACCCAGAAATACACTGCTCAAATACCACAAGTATGATCCTGTCAAATTATATAAAGTCATCGTTTGCTGGTCGATGTTTCAGCATCAAATGAGAACCAAACGGAACCAGTCAAGATAAATTTCATTTCTAAATTAATTACTCAGTGTCTTTTAAATTCCTGGCTTATATCGTTCATCGACGATGTGTACAAACAATCACAACTATCGATATCATCTATTACCAATCATAAGACAGCACATTCGAACTAGCTTCTCACTTTGAGTCATTCGTTAATATTTCAAAATTTCACGATTTTTTGGTGTAGAGGAAATGGGAAAACAATGGAAAAAACAGGACTGAATGAACTCGTTGATGATATTGATATTCAGTTAAGAAAGTCATTTTAATTCGGACGGTGTATCAACTACTGCGAGCAATATATGATACGAGTGAACACCAACCGTTTCACTTACCATCAATACAAAACTTTTCAAAGTATTTTTTGCCAATAGCCGGCTCTGTTTCCAGTTCACCGTCAGGGAAACTTTTTGAACGATAGATTTTGCAGACAGATGATGAATGATCGTACGAAAACGATGCGCAAAGAATCGCTCGTCCTTTACTGTCCTAAAACAGAGCTCAATAGTTTCTCACTTTGAAGATCACTCCAACCATTTCAACGTTTCGAATGAACTTTTGAGCAGAAATATTCATAAAATGAATACAAATAAAATGCACTCAGGATTCGGAAATAACAAACACACAAGCTACTGAAGAAATTAAAATCACATCTTATGAATGGAAAGGATACGAAATGCGAGCTAGACAGATGAGATGAAATAAAATCAGCCTATAACAATCTTGATATGTGTAAGCTTTTGAAATGAATCTGAAAAAAATTTGAATTTGAAAAAAAGTTTGAAATTTGAAAAAACTGAATGTCGAAATTTGAAAACTGGATGTTGTACAATTTGAGAAGTGGTGTATTGTAGGTTTGACGTTGAAAAAAGCTTCATGTTGGTTATTTTCAATGATCAATGAAGGTAGGATTGATAAAGACGCAAGACAACGACGGTTTTCTTCGCTTCGCTTTGCGCTCTGATTTAGATGCAATTGAAGGACAGGTTAATCGCTATCGTTTTTGAAAGAATTGTAATGCAACAAGATCATGAACGATTGNAGCATCACTTTTATGATAGTACCCAGAAAGTGATGCTTATTGAAATTGAATTCATACCCGATTATCACTGCACATTTTGATGCAGTCCTCTTCAGCGACATCATCGTATGCTAACGAATTACTTGAGACAGGTTGCGTATTGTCACTTACGAAGAATGCACTAACTCGATTCTCACAAATTGCTGAAATTTGCATTTATTCGAGTTCGAAAACTGGAACCGATACAACGTACTGATATAGGTATTGGACAAATGTATGGCTCTTTAGTAAAATGTTTCAAGAGTGAGCCTTTCGAGTGGTTCAACTGCCTTTAACAACATGTGGTAGTGAATCATAGATAATATTTACATGTGTGTGCTTTCGACTGTTGCTTTCTAAACGGAGGGTGAGGCAGATATATCTGGTTGAATGCTAGTATCATGAGTGTTGCTATTATGGTGGCTGATCTCAACACAAGAAAGAACTACTTTAATTTTGAAGGATATGGGTGATGCAAAATTGGATAAAATCTGGTAGAACTGATATTCCATGTGTGAGGTTGGCAAATGATCGAGCAATAAATTTAAAAACATTCCAGGAAACGGAGAGGTATCTGCAGAAGGAGATTATTTTAGCATTATCTATTGAAAGTTCGAGTGCATAATGTTAAGGAACAGTAACTCGTCAAGAGAAGTTAATATTCGCTATAAGAACTGAGAAAATTCTTATCGTATAAATTTCATTTCAATGACACCGACAAACTGTTCATGGGACTGAGGAAGAGCAGCATACTATAACTCAAAACTAGCATTTTTTTATTCATTCATTCTTTGCCGATTCTAGCGATCAAGTACAAGAATTGGTTGACTCACCTGGACTAGAAGCAGATGTAGTGGACTGAGTGCTTTTAGCATGTTGTTTGGCAATAATAATAACCGGTAATAATATACATGTTACGACAAATTTGAATGCTAATTCTTTCATTGAGAAAGTAAAAATATCAGCGATGAACGAATGATGATAACAAAAAGAAAACACTTTCAGAATGAATAAAATGCACAAGTGTGGCTGATTATATTGATGAAGCAGATATATTGAAGGGTATGTACCTATCACCCATTTATCTAGCCGTACATCACTTTTGGGTCATCACCTAATTTTGGGTAACAATTCCAATTTTACGTCAACGCAAAAATCAACGGATCTCACAATTTCACTTCTATCTATCGATTCCATAATCAAAGAACTTGAGAAGGAAAAGGAAAATTAATGAGAGATAAAGAAAGAAATGAAGTGGCAAGAAGAGATAAGAAGAAGAATCAGGGAATGCGTTAATTGAGGTGTGTTGACTGATGAATGTGAATGCCTTTTAAACACGTTTCAAACTCATTTCAAAAATTACGTTAGAATTCTTTCCAACAAAGTCATTCTGACGAACATAATGATACACTAAAGAAACAATGCATTGCAATATCTCTTCAGCTCGCCATCCTCACATGCGAGATCACTCATTTTTTTCCATGATCCTCTCTCATCTGTGATCCATCAATGTGCGAACAATTGCATCACCACCCTCAGAATGTTATCTTTGCCCAGTCATCAGCTTTCGCTCACCATTAGACGAGCACGAAAAGTCGAAAAGCATAGGATTACAATATGCTTGACCTGTTCATAAAGTTGAGCTCTTCGATAAAGTCACCTTTACTGAAAAGCTCAACTATATGAACAGGTCAAGAACAATGTACCTTCCAACACGAGTCCGGATCCCCGATCTTTAGCCTTCCATCCTTAAATACTTGCGACTCGCATCCATCCTGAAATTCATTGAATGTACTTTCTCATAACATTTTGTTGTCGATTAGCATTTGCTTGTGGGAATCTTTTACCTTTAAGATTTGAATTAAAGATATCAATTACTTTATTTGGGTTATATTTCAAATTCTTGGAATTTAGATTTTATGTTTTGAGAATGAGGTGCTTGACTTGGTTACAATTAGAAGAATGTTGCTGCATGTAAATAACATACTGAATGGAAGAATCTTTCAGCAAAAGGAGCAAGTGAAAGCGATGAGAATCGAACTTGAAGAGAAACTACGTGCTAAGGTTGCTGCAAAGAAGCCGTTAACTGAAGAAGAGAAACTTGCGTTGGCACATGCTGAACAGCTTGAAGAACTCGAAAAACATCATCCAGAATAACCATCTTATAACGTTTTCAGTTCGGCTCGCAACTCATGACATTCTTTCTCCATAACATCATTACTAGTGCTCTTTTCATTACTGAATGAGACTCATTATTTTTGAAAATTAACAAGCTCTTGTGAATTATGTTTGTTGAATTGTACTGATATTTGTTTCGTGATCAGGTCACATCCTGGTCAGTCATACATCTGTATATGTTTTGTGAGCCGTGATTGTTGAAAATTATTTCTGTTCAGATGACTTTCATATGATAAATTTTAATTACTTGAGATTGCGTTGTGCGTTTTTGCATGTAGCAATGCAATTTTGTCGATTTACGTCGTGTCTTTTATATTGATTGATAGCTTGTAAAAGAAAAGTAAATATGCATTCTTATCTTCATGTACATAGATGTTCATCATTCAATGATTTGTTATATGTGATTCGAAGAAATTCACTGGGAGCATTCCAAGCAGTTCATGTGGATTTGAATCATTTTTGAGTGTCGTTTAATCCAGCATCAATAATTGCTGAGAGTGCTTTCACGATGTAAATCGACAAGTCACTATAAACAAATGACAGTTTTTTGTGTCCACACCGTAATGTTGGATGTGTTTTTAGTAGTAAGGATGGGAATAATTCATTGATTCGCTCGAAGTATGTTATACCTCGAGTTTTAGGTTTTAAGCTTCGGTTGTTAATTACTTGTTGTGGATGTTTCTAATAAATCCCTTCAGCGTGACGTTTAGATTTGTGTTTGAAAATCTCCGTTCAAACGTTTCTTTTCCACGAATGAAACTTACACTGTCGTGCGCAAAGATATTACGCGCATTCAGCGTTTCAAAGTGATGAAAGTATGTTGTTCATGAGGGGATGAAGGCCGAATAGGCGTCTTGCTAGTGGACACTCATCACAAAACTACAAGTGTCTGTTATGAAATTACGATCGCAATCAACCACAGTCATGAACAAAACAAAATAATTGAAGATTGTGTCGTCAACTCATTAGTGTTCTTCTTATCAATTTTTCACGTATGTAACTCCACTTCGAACGTCTTATCAACACTCCCAAAAAACACTCATTCCAAACATGGTATCACTTCATTGTTTCTCTTCTCTTCATTAAAATACAGCTCTATTAGTTACGATTTTGTTATAGAT